AATTAAATAATACTTATAATGCTTATAAGAAGTGTCTAAATGTAAAGAATTATCTTCAAATCGACCGCTCAGGATTCCACTATATCCTTTTAAACTTGCGTGGATGAACTCATTTTCTATAATAATTAAAACCTATGTTTATTTCCGTTCTCAAAAACACTAGTCATCTTAGGAAGATATTAGTATTTCTGAGAAGGGGTTCACTGCAATTATATATTATTTCTAAAAAATAGTCTGCCTTCAAATTTTCTAAATATAATTTTTAATTTGAGTCTTCCAATGACTGATTTAAAAATGAACTAGTTTCTATTAATATTCCCCCGCTGAACTGGTCACTAGTGCCCAAGCGGTAAAGCCCCGGAACACTGATATTTCAATCAGGTGAATGAGCTGGTTGCATGAGATTTTTGTGATTTTCCTTATGTATAACATGAATATGTGCCAGTTCCTGAGAAAGTATTCTACGAAAGCATCCCTCTTCTTAAGCAGATAGCCTTAGTGTGTTTTGAAATAATCCAATAAATCCAAATTCCATACTGACATATTATGTAACTGACATTTGTCATAACTAACAAATCAGCATCCACATAATTGATTACACATTATACGTTAAAATGTTAACGACACTTTTGTTTACTGTCTCCCGTAGTATCTACGATTGTAACACCCTTCACAAAATATGCTGCAAATAACTAATACCCATATATAATCAAAAATGAAACATGATATTGCATATTGTCACAAGTCCTCTGCAGTATGTTCATATCAACTCTCAAAGTTGGTTTTCTAATTGTGCTTTCTATGGCTTCTAATGAAATAATTTTATTTTTCTAAAAATCATATATAAGGATATTAAATTTATCCTAAATTCAAGGATTTTTTCATTTTTTGTACAGGATTTAAAGGTAAAGATTTGTACTGGGAATTTAATTATCAGCATCGTACGTATGTATTGTATGATGCTGAATGTTACATTGGATATTTTTGTTCTTTGATTATAATTATTTTCATGTTACTGTACTTGATTTTTTTTTATAAATTTTATTTTGGGAAGTGTATGTTGCTACAACCAATTACATCAGAATATTTCATTGTTCATAACTGTATTCTTTTTTAAACATTCCCCCTTTCCATTACTTAATATATTTTATTCCATTTTAAAAAAAGTGCATGGCCAGAAACTCTGCTCATTTTCTGTAGATTACTCTAATACATTTTTAAGCACCTGACATGCACTTTTCATTAATAAGCAAGACAGTCAAGGTTAATGTTTAAGATGTTTGGATGGGTGTGCCATATATGCTACATATATATAATGTAAATAATAATGTCGTATATATAACGTAAATATTTTTGATTCTAACGGACAGTGCCCTGTCCATAGTACCAAGCTAAATTGGAATTATGATGCCTTGACCTTGGACTGTTTCATTTGATTCTGAAGGTAGATAACAGGATTCAGTAATGCAAATAAGCATGCTTGGTCTTTATGCATGTGTGCTTTTGTTTATTTTTCTTTCAAGTGGCTTTCTGAGGGAAGTGTAACTCACATTAATGCAGTCTTTATTCAGTTTCTTCTTTTTGTATGTTGAGTAGGGTGTTTTTTCTTTTATGTGAATGCAAGTTTGGGGGGGGGGGGGTTATTTGCATTAAGATTTCCAAACCAATGTGATATTTTTTGGAAGCTAAGTGTACAGCTTTATTACAATAATATTTCTGTAACAGCAGTGTCAGTTGCTTTAGCGGTGAATTATCCAATTCTTATGCAAATATTTTATGAGATTCAGAACTGAATCCTTTTACCTCATCTGTAAGTGACAATTGCTGTCTGTAAGGTAAACATTTGCTGCATCAGTAAGTGAGAATTGGTCTCAAACACTAAAAGATTTACAGCTGTATACTTACATTGATATGCTTGGTATTAATCACAATGCAGTAGATAGTGACTGTGATAAAAAAGTTTTTTTGTGTATTTTTCGATGATGACATAATAAATTTAATTATGGAACAAACAAATAATTTTTCTAAATTTTGACCAACATTGAGATCCAAACATTAATGGATCATCTTGAGATTCTCCTGGTCCTTCTCATTTCAGTCACTTATCCAATGAAAAAATGAACCTTTTTTAGCATTAAATATGCTAATGTGGGTAATAAATAAAAGGATCTAATAATGTACTTTATTACAATTCACATAATTCCTACTCCATTTTTAATAAAATAATGTCGAAAGATAGATTTTTAAATATGCTAATGGGTGTAATAAGTAAAAGGATCTAAAGATGTACTTTACTACAAATCAAATAATTGCTACTCCATTTTTTTAATAAAATAATGTCAAAAGACAGATTTTTGCTGATATTGCACCATTTTCACATTACACTAGACAATAGTGCTAAAACATTTAACAAACTGAAACCAATTATTGGTCCAAGAGCAAAAAAATTCTAAAATGTGTATTAACTGAAAAAAAAAATTTGACTGTTGATGAATCTTTGAGTGGATGCGTCGCGTTGATGCATGCGCGTAAGACCTTTATGGCTGCGAATACGCGCGTGCGCAAAATACGTTAACGAATGCGCATTTAATGTATATCAGACGGTATAAGCTAAGGTAAAATTATCTAATGCATTTAATGTTGTAGATTGCGGTGTTCCTTAATCTTCAAATTGGATTCGGCTTATTATTTTTTGCAGACTGTTAGAGCAATTTTATAAAAGTAAGCTTGAACTTTCGATTATGTCAAATAGAATTTCTGATATATATTTACTAATATGTAAAGGATCTACAAAGTGAAAGTATGTTTCGAAGTCCATTAAACAGAAGTGGAATTGCTGCTGCAAAAAATGGATAAAGGCATATCCTTTGTTATCTAAATTTGTTTATCTATTTACTTTGTTTATCTTTAATGCCGCGGCCCGCATGAATTGGAAGTTGATCTGTCAGCACTTCCTTATCTTCAGGGCAGATGTTTTTATTTTATTTGGCTTATAATTCCTTACTAAATGTAGTATTTCATCTCGATGTACTCCGTCTTTGATATGATTTAAATCAAATTCCTCATCATTATAATTTGCTTCTGATAGCGAAGTAAGTAACAGAGGTTATTGAAAACGAAAAAATTTTGATTGACAAATTAGTCCGTATTCTCGACACAGCAATTATAGGACTTGAACAGCAGAACTTTGTAACTGAACAAGAAATTATGTCTGTTTATAGAATTAAAGAGAATGTATTATCACATAAAAAATGAAACAACTTACATTGAAAGAAATGTTTAATAAAGTAAACAAATAAATAATAAGCTTTTTTTTTTTTTTTTTTTTTTTTTTTTTTTTTTTTTTTTTTTTTTTTTTTTTTTTTTTTTTTTGTAAATTTTGATACCGTTTAGATCATAATTGTTCTTTATTTCATAAATTACGGTTTCATATTTTTAATTTTATAATTTCTGCATGCCATCTTACCAGATTTAAACTGATGATCTATAATCCGGAAAAATCAATAATCCGGAAGTCCCGACGAGTCCGGATTAGCGACTTTTGACTGTATATAAATAAAGTGCATCCAATGCAAGTTTGCTTGAAACTTTTTAATATATATAGGCAAAAATACCAGTCTTACAGTGAGCGGTGGACCTATATGGCGAAAACCATCATAATTGATCTATGGGAGAAAGGATACAGCTTATATCTGGATTGTTTTTTCATTTCGTAACTTGCATTAGATTTGGATGATGCAAAAATTAATGTTTGTGGCACAATCGTGAAAACAAGGAAAGGTCTGCCAAAATATTTCCTATCAAAATCAATGAGACAAAACAATGTAAAAATGATGAATAGTAAAAATATCTGGTTGCATTTAAAGATAAAAAGAAAGAAGGTAAACAATAGTATAATATGGAAGAAAGTATTATAAAATCAAACTGTATTTTGCAGTATGGTAAAAATATGGGTGGAGTAGATATTAGTGATGCAGTCACTACTTATATTAACCATCTTCCAGAAAGTATTTCAAATGGTATAAAATATTATTTTTTGGGCTCCTCGACATTATAATCTATAATGCTCATGCTTTAATGATGTAAAATATGGTACAAAAACGCCATTACTTCAGTTTCAATTAAAAGTAATCAATCAAATTATGGAGAAGGTTATGTCAAGAAGTGAATGTGAATTTCAGGCATTAGTTTCAGTTCAGTGTTTTAAACATTTGCCCTTAAAAGGTGACTCTCACTCACTACTTGGTTTCATGGGGAAACTCGATGTACAGCAGTAAATGTTTACGTGTAGTTTTTTTAAGCAGTTTCCTATGCTTGTTCTGTATAATCTTGTGAAATGTAAAATGATACCGCTTTGTAAATGGAGATAAGATTTTCGTATCTGAAATCTTAACTTTTCTTATTTTTCACAAAATCTAAGCTCAGAGAAATGAACCCAGAAAAGGGCATCAAACAACATATATTGTAATTATTGACCCAACAAGTCAGGCATGCATCCTGGGAATTGTTGCATGAAATATCATACACAGAAAAATTACAGACTAATATTAAGAAATTATGTTTATAAAGTTGGAAAGATATATAAAAATTTTAAAATAAAAAAATTTTATACATTAATTTGTGTGTTATGGTTTTAAGTTACTGGTAAGAAATGTGTCAAAAAAGCTGCAAAATGTATCAAGTTGGTTGTGTGCCAAGCAAAAAAGGCCCCGAGTGCAAAGGGTTAATTTGAAATTTTGCGGTAAGAATAAAAAGAATTTTGTTTAATCTTGAAGGATTCGAAAGAATTAGGAAAATTTAATATAGTCTTACAAATAAGTGCTGTGTAAATGCTGTGGAATAACACATTGCTGTTCAAAATGTGCAGTAGTTAAATTATTTATATTGTAATAAACTGTAAATTTGCAATAATACAGTAGTGGCCAGTTCAAAAAGTGTATTTTTATATTTATTTTTTTGTTAGTTACACATATAGGTAAAAGATCACTTTCATTTTTCAGAAGTGCCATCGCTTTTTGACATCTGTACCCGGATACTGATTGATAATATTGATGGTAAGTTTCATTGATTTCTCCATTTTTAAATATTTTGATTGAACAGTGTATGCCAATCATTATTTATCATAGATCTTTAAACGTAGTAAGCAGGGAATTGGGAGCTGCATTGTTTTTGATAAAATGTCAGATAAAATGTTTACTTTTAAATATTGAATTTGTTAAGATTTATTTAGTAATAGGGAAACAAGTTTCCTGATCTCTATCTACTACTCCTTGTTATTTCATACAATCAAATTAAAAGTAAGTCATGATGCGAGTTGTGTTGTGATAGACATGCTGTATTGTATTGACAGTGGTGGCATAAACCCATGTATTTTGATTCACGAATGGACAGAATTTTATCGTCAATTTATTTTACATTTAGCACTTACACTTCACTAGGTTATATATTGTATTTGCATGTAAATATAAACAGAAAGTTTTAATGTGCCTTTGATAGTTTAATCGAATTCCAACAATAACAAAATCAGATGATTTCACTTATAGAAAGTTAAAAAAGTAAAGATAGAACCAAGTATTTTGGAGGAATGTGATATACACTAAGTCAATATTCAAGTCAAGAATTTTAGTTTTAGTATGTCATCCATTGCCAGGTTTGTGTTTCATTTTTACAAATTCTGAATTGTTTACAAAAGAACATTTTTCTTACTGATGACATCATTTGTGGGTGTTCATTGTGACTGTCTTAAGAAAACCCATTTGCCTAGCTCATATAAGTGGGGCTTCAGATATAATGCAGTATGAGCATTATAATGCCTACTAAGCTGAAATTTGCTTTAATTATTCACATTTAATTTGCGAAAGTTTTAGAATAGAAGTATTCAAAACTGCTTTTCCTATTATTTAAATAAAATTTTTTGTAGTAGTAGAAGGAAAATGCATGAGTTTATTTAGATCTAGATGCTGTTTTGTTTAATGCATATTTTAACTTTCTAGTTCATTTATATCCTAAGCTTTAGTAATAATTTTATTTAGTATAACCGGAAAAAGTTTTTTTATTTGTCTCATAAAGTTGGGGTATATTTTATAGTTTGCAGTATCTTATTGTATTTGACCTCTCTTTTATTATTCATGATACAGAATTCTATATGAATTTTTAAGAGTATAGTTTAATTTCATGCTCCCATGAAACTGTATGATAAATTAATTTTCTTCTTTTAGTTCATTATTATACCAGTATTGAGTAAAAGCTTTTTCTGTACCTTGTTTTTATAAATCGTGTTTCTAACTGCTACAGGAATTTATTACATCATAAGTAGCTTGTCATTTTGTTTACCATGCTTATTATAATTATTTAATGTATGCAATGTCATGATCTACTGGTGCATGAGGAAAATATAAATCAGTAATCTTTGATGTAACTGATGAATAGCTTCTAAAGAATTGGTCAACCCTGATTCAAATCTTTTAATCTATATCAAAACAGATTTTTCTATGTTTTTAAAACTTCTTTATAATTTTTCATTCTTAAAAGGAAAAAGATGTTAAGTTTATGTATTATCTTACAGCTATTGAATATATGGGCGAGGTGCCTTATTTTCTTGTAAAACCAATTCTGGAGCGCTGTAACCCAATGCAACTGTATACTATTGAACATTACAACCCAGTAAGTACAAGTTTCATTTTTAATAAAATGGGCATTATAATAGTAATGCAGTACATCATGCATATGTAATATACATATTTATTCATTCATGTTTCATTTATTGTTTGCTTTTGCCTTTCAACACATGAAATTCATTTTAATGAAAAAAATTATTTTGTCTTTCTTATAGTGAGTGGAATGAAAGGACATCAAAATAAATAAGGCTGTTGTACAAATTTAGGAGAGTAATTGTATCAGCATGTATCAAAACTAGTGATGCCATCAAATTTTGCATGACCCCTCATCAGTGTTTAAGACCTGAATACTTATTATAAGTTTGGTCCGAGTTTTATTCCAAAAGCCCAATGGATTGGTTTCCCCCTCATGTTGCCCTGTAAATTCATCACTTCCCTTAAGCAAAGTGTTCCATGAAAGCATCCTTCCTCTTAGGTAGAGACCTCATGTACTTTGCCATATTCAAATACCTACTATCAACTTTTTCAATATGAACAGGAATGCAAAAGTAGTCTGTACATATATAACTTTAATTGAAATGAACTTGGGATCTTAAGCTTCCGTCATATAAAAACACTGCTTTTAAAAAACAGGAATTCAAGCACACAGAAAAATGTACTCTGTTCCTTCTGAATTTAAATGAGCATTTTAGTTGGAAAAGTTTCATCATCTGATCATATAGATTTTTAGAAAAATGTCTCCCCCTCCCTGCATTGTGATTTAGAGGTAATCTTTTCCTTCAAAGAATGGGAACAGCTTATCTTTGTTTCCATTATTTTCAGGTGTAACACTACTTTTTAATGCATTTTGCATACATAAAATTTTACATTTTAATTGCTCTTAAAAATGTGAAGGTTGCATCTATACTTAACTATTTTCTTTGGAAAGAAATTCTACAAATATTCTTTAATTTTTTAAAGGATAAGGTTTTATAAATTAAATGTCTTTAGCAAAGAAATAAATTGGCTTAATTTTTGGTGAATGTTAAAAACGTTTCTCCCAATTGGTTTCACTATAATCTGGTTAATTTGAGAAATCCAGTCATGTTTTTAATACTTTGGTTTAGGTACCTGTGGTCTTTGATGATTATTCTGTACTCTCCTAAGTTGGTTTAACTTGCAGAACTTTAATTTTAAAAGCCAGTCATCTTGTATTGTTCTATATATATATTTTTTCATGATTTGCTGGTTAAAGAAAGCAATTTAATATTTTTTTTTCAATTAACATTGTTGAATTCTTATAAAGTAAACAAAAAAGTGATTATTTTAAGTCATGCAACTGTTTTGTTAGAAAGTGGACTAAACTAAAAATGATTATCTCCTTTCAGTACTGAAGGAAAATGAATGTTGTATTTTCAGTATTAAAAATATATAAAACGCTCAGTTTTAAAAATATATAAGATGTGTTGGAGTTAAAAAGGGCAAATGTTAGAAATTTATAAAAATATGTAAATGAAAGGCCGCAATTGTGTGTTCAAGACAGAAGCATAAAATTTGCAGAAAGTCACCATGTTTGCATTACTCACAAAATTCATAAATCTATCTATCTCTGTTTGCTGTTTAAGACCTTAAATTATCTTCCAGTTTGGTTATGCTCATGAACAGACTTGTACTGAAAAAATGAGTGTATAAACTGTTTTTGTAATCTGGACTTCTGTTTTGTGATTTTGCTGTTAATGACTGGACACCTCATATGGAATTACTTAATTGAAGCTAGTATGGTGTCAGTATGAATAGGTTTACTATTTGCGACAATCACAGCCACTACCATTTATTTCACTTGCTATTAAGTTTCAGTAGTTGTCTGCAGGTTCCATTCTTCCTGTAAAATAGTTAACATTTTCGTAGTTTGATTTGACTTTCAACCATCACTTTAACTCAAGAACTTAGATAGTTGATCAGGTTGAAATTGGAACTTTGGGTGATCTAGTTTAATTCACTCCCTTTCTTCAAACCAATTGGATATGTCTTTAACTGTATGAACAAGTTAATTGTGATGCTGAAGATGCTGAGAGCAAGTTCCAAATTATTTGCCACTAGGTAGGTAGTGCAGACTTATCCAATATTGCCTCATAAGCATCAGCATTCAAATTTTGAGACCTAAAAATGAGTGCACTAAGGCCAGAAGAAAGAAAGGCCTGCATCATAATTCCTTGCTAATTTCACATTGTAAACAGTGCATTCTTGTAAATAATGGTCAGCTGCCATTTGCCAAGTTCATACTCATTAGTCAGAATGCCACTACGTATGCGATTCCTTATTGCATATGTAGCTCTTCCATTTTTAGTTTACAGGCACAATGTTTTCCATCTCTGTAATTGGAAGCCAAGGTTCAGGCTATTGATCATTGGCTTATTATGCTGCAACTCGCCCATGGAATCTATACTAGTGTACAAAACTTAAATACAGATTGGATTTTTCCTTGTAACTCCAAGAAATCATACAAAGGACCTAAAAATCAGAATACAAAGTATTTTGTATTAATTTAGAATTTAAACAACAAAAATCAGCAAGTCAAAATCAACAAAAAATAAAATTGATTTCTTGATCAGAAATCAACATAAAAAATTAATTTGCAGAATATAACACTTTTTTTTTTTTGTTGTTGTTTGAATTCTAAATTAATATTTGTTAAGCATGTTATTTTATTTTAATTAAAGTATTTTGTATTTAAAGAATGAAGAAAAATAAATTAGTTCAAAAATAAGATGCATATAGTATGGAATCAAGCAGAAAAATGTTTTGTGGAAACAGTGGTATTGGTACAGATAATTATTTGTCCAAAAGGTGACCAATAAACATTTGACCCTTGGAATGGGAAGGCAATTTCCTGTCATGGTTGCATTACACCATCTTATCATCCTAACAGAAGATGATTGAAGAGTTTTTTGGTATAAGAGTGACCATTCCTCAGTGAGCAGTTGTTTCAGTTGTTGAGTATTCACCAGATGTGCTAATGTGGAAAAGTGTTGCCAAAAATGGCACATTATTGTATACCAGAACACAGTAGGCAATTCATTTCAGTGATATCCTCACTTTCTAGCAGCTCCTTCATAGTATGAGTCTGGTGTGTTTTGACATTATCACCCATAAAAACAAAGTCTATGCCAATGGCACCCTAGGAGAGATGCTTATGGTTAAGGATAACTTATTGATAATAGCAGTCTGCCTTAAAAGGATGTCTATCAAAAATGTGGGGAGCGAGTGTGTCATTCAGCATAATGCATCCCAGATGAACATGCCAGGAGCATCATGATGATCTCTTTTTCTTACAGTACTTACTACCTGCATTTTCGTATTAGCTGGTTATTCCAGCCGATATGGAAATCATTTGTGACGTTAAAATTCATTCATTAAGAATCATTTGTGATGTTAAATATTCATTTTTAACTGGGACATGACCTCCATTGGTGATGAGTCCAGTGTTTGTATACTGTACACAGCCTCAGTGGTGCCACTGATCAGTAGCCATCAACATGCAGGATGAAAGGTGAAAAGGCCATTTTCATGCATGTGTTTGTCCATAATAAACTGTGATATTTTATGTAATTTGCCTTAGCCACTCAGACAGAATAGTGGTTAGTTACACAGTGATGGTTAGTGTGCAGCAAGGGGGCACTCGGGTAAACTGCTAACCATCCAAAATGCAACACCATGAAGGAAGCATCCAGACAGCCTGAAACCTACAGTATGTATATACTGTAATGGAATATACAAATGATTACAAGTTCAGCACTCTCGCACATCATGGATACTTCTCATAATCCCTATATAAAAGAAGAAAAGATTGCTATTTTGAATAACATAAATTGTTCTCGTGAGATTAAGATTTTTTTTTTTTTTTTTTTTTAATGCAGCTTTAGTATGCCTCATAGAAAAACGGGAACATTATTCAAGTATTTTTCTAAGTTCTATCTATGTGGGTCATTGCTTACAGAGATTGCGAACTATCTTTCTAGTAAATCAGTCATCTTGTCAAACATAGCCAAGCAACAGTCATGCAAATATAGAGTCAGTGGATGCAGGAAGGAACAACTGATGGACATGGGACTTGTCACGACCACTCACTGCAAGGCAGGCATATCGTGTGCATAATACTGATGGAGTGTACTGCCACATTCATAACCCTATCACAATTAATGCATTTTGTAGTACAACAGTCGGCATCTGCACAGTTTGATGTCATTTATTGACCATGGACTGTTCTCTCTAGGTGTCCACTGCTTCATTTACCTTTAAACCACAGGCATAGGCATTTGCAGTGGTGCTTTGAATGGCAGAGATAGACATCCAAATGGTATGACATGTTTTTGGATGAATCACATTTCTGTCTGCAGTACCATGATCGTCAGATTAGAGTTTGGAGACATAATGGATCGAAGCTGCTCGGCTGTTGTGTTATGCATCATCATAGTGGTCCTGCACCTGCTGTTATGGTGTGGGGTGGTATTGGATTCCAATCCCACACTCTCCCTAGTACCCATTATCAATGCCAGTCTCTGATATTTTACAACACGTTCTCCTTCCTTATCTTCAGGGCTTGCTTATGCTACATTTCAACCGAGCAATACACGACTGCACATTCTGTGCAATATTCAAGCTTTCTTCTTAGCCTACAATATTGCATTGCTACTCTGGCATGTCCACTCTCAGGTTTACTGCCAGTCAAACACGTCTGATCACTGTTTGGAGAATGCCTGGCTGTGCATGCTGCATCTATGGACTTTGGCTACATGTGGAGACAGCATGGCCTGCCATTATCCAACAACACATCCAAAGCTTCTTTCACTCAATGCTGTGTGTAGTAATGGTCATTGGCAAATTTTGAGACAACATTCATTGCTGATTTTCTTGTCTTACTCAATTCAAAGACATGCATTTCAAATCAATTAACATTGCTATTATGTGGAATCTAAAATAAATTTGGCTTTGATATGTCTTGTCCTTTGTGTTACATTTTGGATGGCTGAATGCAACCTGAAATCCTCTTGAGAGGTTGGTTGTAAGAGAAGAGGGGTGGGAGGCAATCAGACCTTCCTTCTCCCAATGTTTTCTCCCTTGGAATTCCACCTGAAACAAAAGTTTAGCAGTTAGCAAGACCAAGTAATATGTCTTGATCAATGCACAGGTGCCAGCCTTACTTTAACGTGTGTCCAACTAGTGGCCATATGCGGCTGCTGAGCAGTATTTTCTGCTGACTGGAATGATACCAGTTATCCTTTGACATTGCTTTTCTTTGCCAACTGCCACCAGTCTTTCTAACAGCGGTACCAATGTTTTGGAAAACTCCCAAGTATGTAAAAAGACACTTGGTCAAAATCAAACCCATGTTTAACATTCATCTTGCTATGCTTTCCCTAAGCATGCTTATCATTCTTCTATATGCAGTAATTCAGATTGTTTCTGTTAGTAATAGTACATGTATATTTCACTTGCAGCAAAAATCTTTAATAACAGCCCTTTGTTCTTCCTTTGCTTATCGTCATATCCTGCGTGTGTCTACTGGAGACTTTTCATGTACTCTTGTATGACCTGTGATGTCTTGTTTTCATTATTTTTATACAGATGATCTTTTTACTAAACTGAATGATTATTTTGTTAATCATTAGAAACCTCTTTCTCAATTTTATGGCTGTCTACTTCAAAATGTTGTCTGTGCTTTAGTTGTGCAGGCTAATGTATGCTCAAACATCTCTCTACAAATAGTATGACTACTGGCATTGTTTCCAGATGTCATTCAAGAGACTGTGGTCCTAGTTTCAGTGAGTCAGTGTGACTTCATTTCAAGGCCATGAATAACCTCTGTTTATCAGTTTGTTTGTTTTTTTAAGCTCTCTTTTTGCGTTTTTGATGTTTTATTGTTATCTTGAATTTTTATTTCAACATATAGCACTTAAGTCTTGTACACTGTGCAAAAAAAAAAAAAAAAAAGAAGGAAAAGGGACAGCTCTATATCTCCCGTGTCTACTAGGGCCGATTGACAAAATTCAACTTGCGTTTTTCATATCTCGAAAGTGCGACTTAGGATATGTATTAGATTTATTTATAGCATAGTTCTAATATAGGTATTTTGACACAAAATCAGGCTTTTTCTGAAATAAAATACCAATTTTTTTTCATATTTGCATTCTATGACTCATTATACGAAACCAGCAAGTTTTGTAAAAATTGCATGAGTAGCTTTTAAAAAATTTGTTCTCAAAATTTTAGCTCCTCAAAGTTAATTGAGTTTGGTATGTATTTATGAATCTCTTTTTTTTTATTAAACTTATTTGATTTTCCCTTTCACATTTCAAAATTCAGGTTCATTCCAAATAAAATTCACCCATTTTTTTATGATTTATTTTTAAAATTTGTATTTTTAAGTAATTTTATAAATTTTTCAAAAAAAATTTTGAATATAATCTATAAATGTTTACCATCATCTTAAACTTGATGTATTTCTAAGCATACCTGCAAAAAATTATTTTCATTCTTTTTTATTCAAGATATATGTGAATTTATATATTGGGACGTTTTGAAATTCGGCATATTTGTTGAAAGCGATAAAACATCAAATGTGGTTTAGACCAGCAGTTGACAACCCTTAGAACTTCACAGACTGCTACATATATAATTTTATATTTGGCAGACCACTAATATGAATTTTGAAAAATAAAAAAACCTTAAACCTGAGGAATTTACAATATTCATTAAATGCATTAAATTATAATTATGCAATGTTTAAAAACATACTAATACACAAAAACAATATTCAACTTTCGAATACATGTAGTTCTAATTTTCATTTGTTAATATAATTTTCAAAATATTTGGTGTTCAGCAGCATGCCTTTATGGAAATTCAGGCTGTGCCCCTGATTATGAGTAGCAATTAAGACACTATTAACATCTCACTTCGCATTGAAAAATTATATGGAAAGTACAAAAGACTTGCCTTCTTGTACAGAAAGCTTGACATTTCTATATCACTGAAAAGTAACTTCTTGTAAAGCAAGAATAAACCAGCAAACTGAAAGCAATATCAATAAACTGAAAATGTTATACCGGCAATTTTTAATTATTGTAAACATAATAATCATAGCTTACTCAGCAATGGCACCATCGATCAAGAGTTAGAGAAAACAAAAATGGAAACTTAAACTGTATTATTAACAACTACAATAGCATTTGTTTGTAATTCAAAAGGAAAGAGAATTCTAGTTCATGCTATTATTGATAACATCATCTCTCACTTTCAAATATTGCTAGATACACCTAAAAGTAGCTGAATAGGAATTTTGCTAAAAGAAGTAGCTAAAATTTAAAAAAATATATAATCCATATTCCATAATAGGTTTTCTTGCTCTTCATTTGTTAAACTGAATCTTCATAAAAATATAAATAATGTCCCAATTTTTCTGTGGACCATCAAAAAGTTTTCACGGACCACCGGTTCGCAAACACTGATTTGATACTTGGCTAATATTATTTGAAAGTAGGAACGATGTGACTTTTTTCTGCTCATGCACAATGTAAAAAGATAGGAACGAGGTGCATTTTTTCCACTCCAGCATATTGGAAGGAAAATGAAAATTGGTTGCCATATATCAAGAAGTTCGCCAAGTGAATTATTCTTGGCACAAACTGAAAATAATTGCGCCAAGATAAATTTTTGAATTTCTCCATAAGTTTCGCACCAAATTTTACAAAATTTAATATCTAGGTATGATTTGACTTTAGAATCGAAATATTGAAAAAAAATTGGTATGTTATTTCAGAAAATGTCAAAATACCTATGTTAGAACAATGCTATATATAAATCTAATATATATCCTAAGTTGTGCTTTCGAGACATGCAAAAACTTTTACGGAATCAAAAAGAAAAACATTATTTTGAACCTAGAAAATCAGTCGGCTTTTTTGCCCTTTTTTTTTTCAATCATCTTACGATAACTAAAATTTGCATTTTCTAATTTTTGCTTTGTCTCAAGGCTCCTTTTTTTAAAATTTCGATCATTTTCTTAAGTCAATTCACATGTTCTTCCAATGGCATTGAAATAACTCTTTGAGTTTATTCAATGTGAAGTATTTCCCCATTTGCATATTTTCTTCAATTTCTTTATAAGCCTGTTCTATGTTGATGGAAGATTCGTCATCAAGAGGCTGAGATTCCGACTGAATACAGTCCATGACATTGGCAGCATCCTATGAGTCAAAGCCTAAATCATGTCTCTATGTCACGACTTTTGCTCCAGTTGTATCCATTTAAAAATCAAAGCCACAAAAATCATTAGCACAATGAGGAAAAACATATATTTTCTCACATTTCTCATGTTATTTTCACTCACTTTATTCCATGTATATCCGATATTTTTAATACAATTTCAAATATTGTAATTTTTCCAAAATGTGCTCAGAGAGGAGATGTTTTCATCAGAAGCTGCTTCAAATGCTTGTGAAAGTGTCCTCCTCAAATAAAAATCCTTAAATTTTGAAATAACCCCTTGATCCATGCGTTGCAGCTCAAAGCTCTTAAAGCATCAGGGTTTTCAGCATGATACACAAGCATGAGCTTCAGTGTGACATCATCAGATGCATTTCTTTGTAAAAATAAAATTCTGCCCTTTAATGCCTTATAGCATGGGTGATATTGCTCTTTTTATGACAAATAAGTTCTAGAAGGCAGCTTATCTTCTGGTAATAACCTAGTTTTGTCAATGTTAAAAATTTGTTCATTAAGGTAGCCTTTTTCTTCAATAATATTATTTCTTCTGGGAATTTTGACATTGATTATTTTTCTGCCACTTGCACATTCACCCATAATGTGAATATTAAGAATCTCTGAGCATTTTTTAAAGCAAAAAAACCACCCATGGTTTAATTGGAAATCTGCATCAGTTTTCAAATTGTTTTTCTTCAGGGGTAAGAAAAGACTTGATGAACTGTGAATTTCTAGTTGGCTTAAGGGAATTCTTGGTTACAGTCTTTCATCCAAAGTGAAAGTCTTTCTATATTTAGCATCAAAGAACTTCTTTGTCTTACAAATTTCTTAGAAGCAGAACTGTTTGTAGCTATTCCATACTCCTTATATTTCTCATTATCTTTCATAATCTTTCTAACTGAAGACTCATTTTTTTAATCTCATAAAATCTTGGTATATGATGCATTGTCATCATAAATTTTAACAATTTCTAGCTTTTCTTGTAAGTTCAATAATTTATGCTTGTTTTGTTTATTGCAACTAGTATCAGAATTTTGTTTCTCATTCATTATAAATAGGTTTAGGAATGAACTATAAATAAAAATTAAACAAAAAGTGAATCGTGGTGAGAATGATGAATAATCGTGCAATATGATTATCGTAGAGATTGAAGGTAAGTTCATTTTGTGAGTGTGCCACTTCTCTTGCCAAATGCATGTGAGCAGTTAGTTAGCCCTGTTCATTTTGGTGATACATATTTTAGCGGGAACATTTAGGTTGTATTATACTGGCACAAAATCCTTGCAGACTGCACAATAGTAAATCAATCAGTAGTGATCAAAATTTATTACTCAATTTACTAACCATACTATACTGTAGTGAAGCTGCACTATGTCAGGTATTAACTGTACTATATTTTCCGTGAAATTACTTGTGTTATGCTGTTCAATATGCAAAATTTTCTTACAGTACCTTCTTGAAGATACTCATGATTTATGGGAAGTGCACTGCAGGAGAGATTATCGCACCGAAGAACCACAAGAGAATGAGACTTGGCGAGATTTATATTGGGTAATATTTTGTTTCATGTTGTATAATTTTTAAGAATATTATTATCTAGTAAATTTAGTTATTCAAAAGTGGTTGAGCATGGCAGTCATGTGGTGTAACAAATATTTTAGAAATTGTAGCTATATAGTAAAAAAAAAAAAAAAAAAAAAAAAAAAAAAAAAAAAAATTATTGCGTTTGTTTCAGCTATATTAACAGGAATAACTGTTCAAAAATGTGTTATCAAAGTATACCAAATATAAACTGCTGGTGTTTCTTCTTTTGTTATTACAGCTGATATCCTTTAGTGTGAGCTTTCTACAAAATTTTCTTAGACTGCAGTAAGATTTTATATCTGTTTCTACTTTAGCTTGGTAAACAGCAGATAAATGATTGTGTGAAATGTATAATTGAAATGCTTCATCTCTTTCTAAAAATGTTTGTTGAGATTGAGAATTGCACATATAAGGTTTTTCTCTGTGTGTATCTTCAAACTATGAAGTTACTAAACTAAGAAAAAATTGTATTACTACCACAATGTAATCTCTTTATGTATCAGTATCCAGTTAAAAGATAACTGTTTTGATTTGTTTCTTTTAAATTATTTGATCCTTCACTTAATAATATGTACTCATTATGCAAAACATAATTTACTGATTATGCAAAATATAAGGTACACCTCCATAATAATACATCTTCTACATATGCAGTCTGAACCAATGTTCAGCCCATTGTTCATGCATTTTTTTTTTTTTTTTTTTTTTAAGCTACAGCTTTTTTTAGCAATGCAGCAGCATTAAACTGTTGATAGTAAAGTGTAAAAAGGTAAATTTTATTGTTTTTGACTTTAGACATCTGTTGAATTCTTTTAACTGCAATCTTAGGGGTTTTAAGAACAGCTAAATGTAGAGTCTGCTGCCGATTTACCAGCAATGCATGTTCATGCTACAGCCCCCCCCCCAAAAAAAAAGATAGTCATTCGTAAGCCAATTAACAAACATTTAATGTCATGTCACATCTCGCATTTTTGTGATACTTATTTACTTAACTCTTACTATTGCATTAATTTTAACAATCATAAGTGCATATTGAATGATTTGGAAATATTAATCAGCTCTTCAAGTACCATTTTTATTCTTTAAACACCTATTAGTCTGCTTACAAAATGAGGTGCGTCTTTTTTTGTTTTGTATTCTAATGCAGAAATCTGACAAATAGTCATCCATCTATATTAGCTTCTGAATGTAATATTTTATTTATAACTGATTGCATGTCAGGAAATGTAATCTTCAGGCTTCAAGACAAGGACTAGCATTGTATTGTCTTCTTAGATTGGTTATTATAATGATCGTAAATTTCACAAAACAGAGTCTTTTAGAAACCATGAAATGTTAAGTAAATCAAAAAGCAGTTAATTTGTTTAATAAAAATTTGTTGTTAAAACTAGTTTAATAGCTTTCAGTGAGATTTTCAAATAATTACTTCGTATCCCATACAAATACATTTTTATAGCACTCCTTGTATCTTCTACGTGACTCTTTATTGTAATCATATTTTGTAGAGTCATTAGGTTAATTGGAAGCAGAAAAGATGAAAAATATGCAACCGCCTTCGCCGGGAATCGAACCATGGACCTCTGGAATACCGTCCCAGCGTGCTGCCATTACACCACGAAGGCACACTAGGGAAGTGGGAGAAATACCTTATACAGTCAAAAGTCGTTAATCCGGACTCGCCGGGACTTCGGTGATTCCGGATTATAGATCATCACTTTAAATCACATAAGATGGCATGCAGAAATTCTAAAATTAAAAATATGAAACTGTAATTCATGAAATAAAGAACAATTATGATCTAAAGGGTATCAAAATTTACAAAAAAAAAGCTTAATATTTATTTGTTTACTTTATTAAACATTTCTTTCAGTGTAAGTTGTTTAAGTTGCTTCGTTTTATGTGATAATACTTTCTCTTTAATTCTATAAACAGACATAATTTTTTGTTGTTACAAAGTTCCACTGTTCAAGTCCCGTTAATTATCGAAATTTTTTCGTTTTCACTAACCTCTCTGTCACCTTCTTCATGTCTTTATCCATTTTTTGCAGCAATTCCACTTTTTGTTTGATGGACATCGAAACATACTTTCGTTTTGTAGATCCTTTGGAAGTTCCAGCATCGGAAATTCTATTTGACATAATCGAAAGTTCAAGTTTACTTTTATAGTATTGCTCTTACAGTCTGCAAAAAATAATAAGCCGGATCCAATTTGAAAATTAAGGAACAACGCAATTATCAACAATAACTGAAATAGATAATTAGATAATTTTAGCTTATACCGTCCGTTATACATAAAACGTGCACGTGAAAACATATTCTGTGCTTGCGCACACGCAAATGCGCAGTCATAAGAGGTCTTGCGCGCACGCATATGCGCATGTGTCAACACGGCGCATGTGCAGAAAGTTTTTAGCTTTGAGGTCCGAATTAAGGACTTTTGACTGTATCCCTTTTTTAAGTTGTTACTTTATACGTTATTGCTAAGTGGAAATTGTGATCAGCCAAACATAGTTTATCCCACTATTTGCTATTGTTCTATATTACAGTTATAGTTACATATTATGCTACTTATATATGTGACTTCTCCCTTTTTAACAGAAATAGAGATTATACAGTATCTTTTAATTAATAATTTTTAAATCCTGTCAGATCGAGTAACGTATGTTCTTTTGCTGAATTTGGTGACACAATGCTTTTATTACACCTAGAAGAATTTACAGGCATATCTAAATTTGGAATGCTTCTGCTAATGTAAAATTTATTCGCATGTTCACCATTCTCATAACTATTTTGCAATATGAAATATTTCTGATTAGTTCCTTTAAGAATGTCTCTTCTATTCCTTTATATAATTTTTGCCACATGCTTTTAGCTTTTACCTTATTTCATTTATGTACACATTATCTTCAACTTTCAGTGGCTTTAATAGTCTTCCATTACTATCATAATAACTTTTTTGTAATGCTTCTCTCTTCAGTAAATGTTGCTTTTCTTCTTCATGTTACTTAACTCAGATGTAATTCTCTTTTAATAGGCATAATCCATTCACCTTTCTTCCAAACATCCATTCTGAAGGTGACTTAATTTCAGCTGAAATAGGAGAGCTACGATATTTATGTTAATGCTAAATATGGATCCTTATTGTCAACTACAGCTTTTTTTAACATTAGCTTCACAGTTTGAATGTCTGTCAACCATTCCATTTGATTGTGAGTTATTTGGACTTGAAGTTCTAGTTCCAAGATTCTGTTTTCTTTCAAATTCCTTAAATGTCATGCAATGTTGGACCATTAGGTGTTTCTTTAGATATCATTAGTTCTTTACTGTTAGCTTTTTGAAAACTCAAACATGTTGGACAGTTCAGTACCAAAATTTCTTTTGACATTCCTGGCTAATGTAACATTTTTCTGTTGCTAAATGACCATAATGAATTCCAACCGAAATAAATTTCTGTAAATTTCTAGATACAACAAAGCTGGATTTCTTAAATATTAACCCACTTGCTTCTGGTACTTCTTTGAAGTTAAAATAACTGTTTTGCCAGTTCAGGAACCATACCTTGTTATATCTAGCCATCTACTTTTAATTAATTTTCTTAAAACTTGCAACTTTTCTTCTGTTTCTAGTTAAATAATTTCCATTGTACCTTTAGACACTGGTGTATTCTCTGTAACCATACTAGCATAGGCTTCTGTGTCTCCTTCAAAAAAATCAGATCCTTTATCAGTGAATGGCCTTGATATTGCATGAACTATAAAAAATTCTTTTCCTGGTTTATATTTTATCTCAAACTGATATGGCTGTAATCTTTTATGCATCTTTGTAGTCTTACTGGACATTTATTTAATGGTTTCTTGAAAAATGATTCTAACAATTTATGGCCACTTCCAACTGTAAAAAATTTACCAAATACATACTGGAGAAATTTCTGACATGCAAATACAATAGCTGAAGTTTCTTTTTCAATTTGAGCATTATTCTTCTATGCATCTTATAATGCTTTAGATGCATATGCAGAGGTAAATTATTCTTCTGTGATATTGCTCCTTGTCTTTATTGTGATGCAGCTAAAGATAAAACTGCAGACATAATGTTTATATCGTAATACGTAAAAGCTGGTTTGCTTACTGGTTTATTATAAGACAGTTTTTAGTCTTTTGAAAGCTTTTCCAAGTACAGCTTTCTGATTCCAGACAACCTGTTTTTTAACAAATCTATGATATGAATTCTGATATGTTTTGTATGAAAAAAGAAACATATGTAATCATTTCTAGGAAACTTTCTCATTCCTTGATATTTTTTGCTGGTTTTATATTTAAATTAGCCTTAACTTTGTCTTCATATTTTTTTCAAAGCGTCTTTAGAAAATATATGTTCCATATATTTGACTTCATTCAGCCTAGTTTTATGTTCTTTTTCTCTGGCTCTTAGCCAACACCATTTTTAATCTTAACTCATGTTCATTTTAGATTTTCCCCAAACTAAGAAGTCATCTATGTATATTTGAAGTCCTTCTATATTCAATAAAATTTCAGAAAAACTTCTGACGATGAACATAATCCATATGGCAAAACAGTATCTACCAATTGAATATTAAATGCAGTAAACTGACAGCTTGAATATGACAGTTTAAGTTGACAAAATGCTTTGTTTGTTTCTAAAATACTGAACACTTTTGCATTTGATATTGAATTTCTTTGAAGTATGGTATGTGATAATGTTCTTTTAGTATATTTTAGTTAGGGTATTGAGGATCTAATTATACTCTTAAACTACTGTTCTTTTTTCTTATTACAACTAAATGCATTTAATAAACGAAGTGGAATTTTCCTAAAAGGCTCTATTTTATCAACTGCTGCTAGTTTTAATTTCATGTAATAGGTAAAACAGGTCAAATGCCCAATTCTTTTCAGTATGTCTAGGTATCCATTCTAAGATTCTGGTAGATTTTCATTAGATTCAAGATT